ATGATGTCATCAGTGGGTGACATCACGTGTTTCCTAGCATCCTTATCAGACACATTAGCCTTATGTACGAGCATCCAGCTTTCTAATTATAGAAACACAAAGACTGCACGCCGCTTCCATTTCAGAGTTTAAAGCAATTTATGGATGTTCGTGACTGTATTTTTCCCTCTTTTACCAGGTTTTAGACCTAAAGATCAGGGACACTGTTGTGACTTGTGAAAAGCCCTTGGGTTTGCTCTGATGAGGGCCCCACAACAAGGTTCCTGGTTCGAATCCCCAGGGGACCGGGGGCCTTTCTGTGTGGAGATTGTATGTTCTCCCTGTGTCTGTATGGGTTCTCCCTAGAGACTCTGATTTCCTCCCACCGCCCAAAAACATGCATGTTAGGTTAATTGAACACTCTAAATTGCCCCTAGTAGCAAATATGAATGTGAGTGTGTTTGTCTCTGTCTGGCCCGCTGTTGGACTTTAGCTTAGTGATAAGAGTCGTACTTACTTACTCACTGGGATTTGCATGTATTTCTAGGAAGATTCCTAATACTTTTGCACTTGCGCCGATGCTCTTTATGGAAAAAGTCAGGGGTATTCTCACGAATCAAAATCAACTGAATAAACCCAAGTGGGTTATATGGGTTTATATTACTGAGTAATTTTAGCTTTATGGCAGCAAGCTCATGTAGGTAAGCCCTGGGGAAACGCATGTGTCAGTCATTCAACACCAGCACGACTCAAAGTAAGCTGAATTTTGTCACACTGTGCTCAGGCAAGGTTTTTCTGACAATCCAAAAGCTATAACTCTTTTACTTAAAGGTTTCCTGCAGGGGTTGTTTTTCACATTGAAATGAAAGGTTTCTTATCCTCGTGCACTGTAGATTTTTGCTGCCCTCCTCCTACAAGCTGTCAGTCAGGGGAAAGGTGTAGAACTGTCAGTGTGATCACTTATGACTTTATCCAGATGCAATGTTAAGGACATGGTATTTCTGTCTGTCTGAATGAGGAAGGCATTGCAACATCTTTTCTTTAGTCATCTGAAATTCCATAGGATTCCATAATAAACAATAACTCCTAAGACTTTACACCAGGTAAGGAAATGGAAAGTTACAGAGATTGTGTGTGAATGTCTGTTACTGTGTTTGTTGAAGTCAGTTAAGGCCAGTGCTGAGTTGTTGCTAGCCATGGCTAATGCGATTCTGTGGCTCCTTGCATGACACAGTCACGAACTCACTCTTACAGAGCCACGCGTAGCATGTGCTCTATATTTCACACCCTTTCACTTCACGCCTTTGTCAGTCTCCATATGTGCACACACTATAGCCTATTTGAAATTGCATGGTGAAGTATACCTTGACAAGATTTTTGCACTGTAACTTTATTAAGACTTCTAGCAGGGTCACCGACCTTAACCCGGCTTGTAAAGCTTTTTCAAGGTCTTTTTACATAAGGCAAGATAATGCAAACTTCAAAACATGATCTTATTCCTTAAACAATCTCCCAACAATTGGCAACCAACATACCATGTCTATTTTATTTATTGTAATGCATGGAATTTAAAAAGAAATTGTGAGCTACAGTATTTGCCAAAGTACATGTTTTTTTATATTGTGGGAGACTTGCATTTGGTTTTTGACTCAATGTTTTGTTGAATTTCAATGAAATCAAATCAAATAATTGAGTAAAAATGACAGCAAATGTTGACAATCTAGTCCAAGCAAATTAGCATCCATATCATTGTAATACAATCTAAATTCAATCATTAAGTTTGCAATACATTTTATTTTTACAGAGCCAATGAAAAAAACGTTTCTTGCTGAGGAAGCCAGCAGATTGCACTGGATCTTCTCTTAATCCAACCTGCCATCCTAAGCGTGCACATGGCGACTGTGGTGAACAAAAACTTCCTTTTAACAATGAGGCGACCATCTGCCTCCACAAGCTGGGGTTTGAGGGGACAGGAAAGAGGGACAATAAACACCACAACAAATAGTTTTGCTCATAGTTTGTAAAACTATAAATGATCAAACATTTAAAACACGTCATCTTGAACTTTTACTTTTTACCTGCTTGCAGTCACAACTATAAAATGCCAAAACTTAAGTTTAACTTCAGTGTTAAACTCAGTTAGCCATTGCCTCAGGAATAAAACCCAAAATGTACTTCTCTTCTATGATAATGCTGATCAGAAATCTATTTCAGACATGGATAGAGGCCAATTTTGTCATTAGCCACACTGTGATCTTTAATTTTCCTTGTGGGTAAAGTTACCTCAGAATAATATGTCCACTTAAAGACAAACAGTTATTGAACATGCAAATGTAAGCAGAGGTTTTACGGACATCAGGACTGCAGGTGCAGTAACGGCAAACGCTATCAAAGATATGGTGGACAGTTAGCACAGAGAACATGAATTACTTTACGAAGTGAATCATACTCTCACCAGGCTGAAGTGAATGTGGTGTTATTGCATAACTGCTTTTTGGAGAAATTGTGACTTTGTTGCAACACGATTATGTGATTTCTATCTTATCCATAAAACTTGTAAAATGAAGTGTTCTTCTCCACTAATTTTCTTTGGGGCTGCAGCCAAAGACTGGGTGTACTGCAATCCTGTTGTGGTGCCAAAATGGTGGCTCTAATTCAGAATCACATAGGTACACCAGCAAAATAAATCACAAGCTCTGTCCTTTATATTATGCTGTAGTGAAGGCTGGGGGTGGTGACTCTGTTGTCTCTCTCTGTGGCTGTAGCTCATAGTACGACTGCTGCAGGATGAAGGCTGACTGCTTGCTCTTACATAACCACATGTGCAAATTCATCCAGGGAGAGGGAGAGAGAGAGAGCATGGAGGGTAGGGCAGCGTGAGACAGCTCAGAGATCAAGAGACTGAGAGAGAGAGACTGAAGAGGCCCTTGGGGGAAAGAGGGAGAGACAGAGAAATAAAGAAACTGAGTGTGTAAAGAATACAAAATGAATGACAGCTTCCATCCTACATGTAATACTGATTTCATTCTGTTTCTCTTGTCACAGTTTGTCTAAATGGAGACATTGTTTGTGTTTTTTGACATTGCAATTTCCTCTAGAAACGTCATCTACATTTGAAAATGTGGATTTTCTTACTCTGTGAAGTTTTATATCTGCTGTCCGCAACGTTATTTTGGCTCTGAAGCGATAAAGAAAAAAAGAATATCCACCTTCAAATAGCTGGTTTGTGTACATCTGCCTGTCAGTATTGTGACAGGTGAAGAGTAAGTGCAGTTCCTCAGGTAGCCAGTTGATGCTGGCTTCACATTTCAACTAAATATTTGCAATTTGCAATTTGCAAACCGCATAAATTGTTTCCATGACAGGATTAAATAAGCTGCTATCTTCAGTTCAAGAGAATCTCTGAGACAGTTTTATTATCCACTGACAGCTCCTGCTCGGAAGTGTTGACATGGCTCCTCACTTCATCCATTCAGTCCAATCACATGCAGATGTTAATCAACAGTAGCCAATGAAATGCATCTCTGGACATTTTTAAGAGTTAATTGATAATTAGGAACCTGGTGGTATGTTGATAAGATGCTGATTTTAACATATACATGGCCGAGTGTAAGATATTTAGTAAGTGGCTAAGATGGACATTGACTCTCACATTTACTTTCTTGGCTTCTTTGTATGGTAGACTTGACAAAACCTTGTAAAAATGGCCAACAGACATCTATTTCTGTGTTCTTTATAAAGTTGACAGGAGGCAGGGCTTGTATTTAATACAAATATTTCAAAACAATTATTAAGACAGGAGAGCCAAGTCTGGATTGTGTGTACGAGGAGTGTTAACAAAAGGCTCCAATGATCAGCACAGGACCTCTCCATTCTCAGAAAATTGGAGAAACATTCTTCATTTAAGCGGGGATTTTCCCTTTTCTCTTCCCACAACGCATATGATCATTGAGCCATGCAAGGAAACTTCAAGAACCTCAGTCTGTAAATGGCACATCTCAGTGTTTTAAAAAAGCATGTAAGGCCAAGCCTTAAAGTCATATGGAGAAAAACAACAACAACCCTTTCTTTAAGTTTTCTCTGTGGATGCTTTGCATCTTATGAACAGTCTTTAAAGATTTGTTACAGGTTAAATGGTGACTCTAAATTGTGTGCACAGTTTATTTGCCCTCTGATGGACTGGCTAAATATCCAAAATAAATCTCGCCTGTAATTTCATGACTGCTGGGATAAACTCCAGTTCCCCTGTGGCACTCTATTATCTATATGCTTACTCATGTAGGGTCCAGGGGTTGCCTATCCCAGCGTACTCCATATACTGTCTAATATACGGCCTCATAGTTGACGCACAACCACGCACTCACACAGGGGATTTAGAAACTTCTGTGAAGGTTTTAGGCCTGCTGGAGGAAGCCAGAGTACCCAGAAATAACCTCCCAAGGCAAGGAAAGAACGCGCAAACTCCACACAGAAAGGCCCACAGTCCCATAGGGATTCAACTCGGGAACCCTGATCCTGTGAGGCAAAGGTTCTTACCACTATATCACCCTGCAGCCAGCTCTGAAGATATGGAAAAGCCAGAATTGATTTGCCATTAGTGAAGTACGAACTAGCAACAAAGACAAAAACAAAAAAAAAAGGAAACAAAAGAATAATGCATGTCACATTCTCTAAGCCCACATAGTGAAAAAAGAAAGAAAGATTTACCTCCTATTCACAACATCTGGTTAATGGTCTAGGCACAAAGACTTCTGCATACACCAAAAGAAAATCTACAACCAGCCCAATGGAAAGCAGTAACGTAATAACTGTTTGTTCAAATCTCCGAAAAGTGTAAGTCTCCTAATGTGGTGTTTCAAATTGATGCTGTTCTGTTCTTAGGAATTATCTATAAGTGAGACTTACATGAGACAAAAATCCACCGATGACACTTCTTACTCTGCTATATACACATGGATATTCTACAGTGTATTTCTGATGGTCAGAGCATGAATAAGGGTTTACAGGAAATGTACATGATTTGTATTTCAAGGTTGCAAAAATCAGTTATCCAAAAAACAGAAAAAAACTTGTAAATGAGGTATTGCTGCTTTTTATAGCCATGGAAGTTTAAAAGGGTACTAGAGGACATCTCAGGTGATATCTCTGTCAGGCATTTTATCTGAAGCGATACAATTTTTGGCATGCATCTCCACATGACAAATGGACGCAAAAGCATCATACTGAGGGGCCACAGCGATATAATTAAGGACATTTAGAAAAACTGTCTCAACTAATAAACAGTAGCTGTTCTAAAAATAAAATAGTTGGTGTGTTTAGTGTATCCTTGTTCTAAATCTGAAAACTTTGACAAAGTTTCTCAAATTGTATTTTGGCATGGATCTGACAACAAATTCAGCTACTCCTGTTCCCCATCATCTCCCTCTTCACCCTGCAGCCTCCATCCACCAGCTGTCAGACAGGCGTGAAGGCCTCACTGGAGATAGACGGACAGATGGGAGGAAGGCAAGAGGGAGGAGGTTGCGGAATGCATGGAAGGAAGGAGAAGAGGGAGAGGTGTGACCCACTTTGCGGAGCCTAGAGTATTTATAGAAGAAAGTGTCCTAATTGGTGAGCCGCTGGGAGAGCGACAGCCCTGCACTGGTACTCTACTCCTCGTCCTTCACCTCCTCAACCTTTTTTATCTCCCACCCCATTCGTCGCTTTCCTCTGTTGCCCCCTTCTCCGACACTCTTGTCGAGAACTTCATCGCTCTTTGTTGTTGGCTGCTCTTTTTTTTTTACATCGGTGACCTCTTCTTAAACCTGGCACTTCCACACTTTACATATCTTTCAACTCTGACTTTACCTTGTCCTCTGGAGTTTCTACTCCTCATCAGCCTTTTGCCACTCCCTGTCTTTGTCCTCTTTCCTCCTCTTGACCTCTTTCCTTCTCTTTCCTTCTGTCCTCACTGGATGAGTCTGCTTTTGGATTGTCATTTGTTCTATGTTAGTAAGGAGTACTTGAGATGTTGAAATGTAGGTCAGTTTTGCTGACTGGTGGAAATCACATGTAGGCAGTTTAGAAACCTTTTTTCAGCAGATTTTTATAGTGGTTGGTTTATTACTTATATATCGTGTCACATTTATTGTGACATATTTCATATAATTTCTTGCCATTGGACAAGAAAGCAAAACAAAACTTAGAGGTAAGGTGAAAATTGGTAAAGAAAAGAGGAACTCACGTAGGAAGTACTCTGAAGCATCCGCCTCATAGTCAGCATCCTCGGGAAAGTGATCTATCTGCTTACACATGCCCTTAAAAGAACCTGTGAGAGATGGGAAGATAGAGGGAAAGAGACATGAACATACTTTAATACAATCAGAAGAAAATCCTCAGTGTAAAAGCAATGAACATAATTAAATCCAATACTGTAGGAAATGATCTCAGCCTTTGTGTTTACTGCTATTAAAATGAATCGATACCCCATCAAAATACACAAAGTCACAGCTTTAAGAGGAATCAGAGAAGAGTTTGAAAAAATATGAAAGATAAGAACAAAAACAATTAAATCCCTCCATCATCCATTCTGGGTGATGGAGGAAAGAAGAGTAAATGGCAAATTTAAGAAAAAAACTGATGAGTGACAAAAATGTGAGATTTGTCAGCATCTTTTAAAGGCACATAGTAGGGCAGAAATGAAAGAAGTGAGGAAGAAAATGGGAAGGTTTTAAATATTTAAAGCGGGCAGGTGGGTGTGTGAAGGGTAATTGCGGGAGAAGAGCCAGCCACATGCAAATAAATGAGGGGAAGGAAGGAGGGACTGCTGATAGTGTTGCTCATTAAGATGGATTGTGCTTGTGTGTGTGTGTGTGTGTATAGGTTGGTTCAGCTCCAGTGGTAATTGTATGCCCTCCCAAACCACTGCAATTAAATGGGCCCTTGTTAATTGGCAATTGAAGGACGAAAGACTAGCACCCGGCTTTGAAATGGGCATCAGTTACACACAAACATTCACACACATATACAAAATGCCTGACACTAACAGGCATATAAACACGAGAACATTCATCCTAGGGCTATCGACAGCTTATCAAGAGCCTCACAGTGGCTTTGAGCATTTTTCATGCAACTTGTCAAATATTTTAGTATTTCAATTTCATTAGAGGGGAAAAAACATATTTGATACAAAGCTCTCGACAAACAAAAGTGGAAAAGGAATAATCACACAGATTTTATGACAGCATGGTTTATATTTGCATCTGTAATAGACCTCACCAAACACCTACTTGGCCAAAGAGCTTTTTCAGACTTTGACAGACATATAAAAGAAGCGTTTTGTTTTTGTACCTGGAATAAATATTGTTCAATCATTTCTTGGTGAAGTACGCAAGTTGATCAAATTCCCTTCAGTTACTGAATGCATCTGGCCTTCAGTGGACATGAAAAACATTTAAAAAATGATCGCCCAACGCACGATTGGTAAAAGTGGTAAACGACTTCTTATTGACAAAATATTGACATGATATACCCTCAAGATTAAAAAAATTATTTGTCGTAGCAGACACAACACAAGAGAGATGGTAGATTAACTATTATAGAGCAGAGCAACAAAAACTGGGGAGCAGGTGAAACAAGAAAGGGCTGTGTAATAAAAACAAATGGAAGAGGGAACATTTTTAGTACGCCAAAGTCTTGGAAGAGGATCGATTTAAAAAAGAGGACAAGAGCAGAAGGGTTTCTTTTTGTGATGTTTAACTATAGATGAGATATAGGAGGCAAGGAGACTCTGCACATTCAAAATACTGCCAAGTCTTTTGTCTCGAAAAGGCATTCTTGTCTGAAAGGCTTCTTGCTGTGTCACAAGTGTCTCAGAATATAGCCACAATGGACATGATTTTGATTAATAGTTGGGATCAGGTGCAATCCAGATGAGATAGAAAAAAAGTAGGAAAAAGTGATGAAATTGATGATAAAATAAATCTGTGAGCAAAATGTTGCAAAAGTAAAGATTCAATATAAGACTGTAAGGAATCAGTAATAAGCATATGGGGGTGGTCAGCCTGCACATATCAAGGTAACACATCTGATTTGAAATAAACCAGAGACAATGTAAAACATGTCTATACACTGCTTTACATGGACTTAACTAACAATTCTACATTTTGTTTGATTGTGGGCAACATTTACCTATCACCATCTGGATTGTAAATATCAGATATCTTAGGCCCCATGCAGAAATGTATTGTCACAATGGACATACATTGTGGAATGTAAAGTTATTCTGCTGTTGCTTTGTGAAGGCCAGTAATCACGTGGGCGCTGGTGGAACTGTGTACTCATGAATAATGAAGACTAATCCTGTATTTTTTATGCCAGCCGCAACTGACAGTTTGGAAAGTGAAAAGTTGGTGATCTGGTGTGACAGCAAAGGCTGTAAAACCACCATCAAACTCCTCCAGCATCTGTGTGAGTATTCCTCACCGCTCTATAGTTAAGTTCCTCAACTTTTGTGACAGTTTGACGGAACACAAAATATAGCCTTGTTACATTTCACAAAGGAAAACGTAATGATGGAAAATATTGGAAGAAAATGTACAGTATAGATTCAGTGGGGTAGTTTCAATGTTATTCAAAATAAAGGCATTTTATTACCTTTAAGAGCAGACTTAGCATTGCAGTGAACGTGTGGGAAGTGTGGCCATCTTACAGTTTTTGAGTCTTTCTCATGGAACTGCTTTTAAACTGTGGATCGGCATAGTTAATACAATCTCAGAATCAAAACTGGGCTGCTAAGCTAGGCTTTCTACCCAAACCAGGTGACGTGTAAAGAGGGTTTTCCTGATGTGTTTTAAAACACCCTCAGATAAACAAGTTCATCATTGTTCCCGAGTATGTTTGTGTCATTAGGGCCTTAAGTTGTCATTACATCAGCGGGTTTAAATTGGTCTTGAAACATTCCATACGGTGGTTGCTAGGTGATGTGCAAAGTAGAAAATCAGTGAAGACGCTGCTCCATCGTTCCCATCACTCCCACAATCGTTGCGGTGCGTTTTGTGCCAATGTTTGGTTTTCAGCTTCAGTTTCTTGCTACGAGTGCTCATGTCTTCATGTGATTATCCGTCAATATGTCTAATGCTTCGGCTCACATACGGCCAGCAGTGCCGGAACTCCATGATATTATTCCCTCTGTACCAGCACCGCTCCGTCTCTCCCTTTCACACGCTCCCTCTCTTGCTCCAACACATGCCCACCCACGCTGCACCACAAGCACATGTAATCTGGAATTGCATTTTGCCTTCCTTCTCTTCTTCTATCTCTCTCACACACAACCCCCTCACAGTGTCTTTCACCCACTCTGCTATCTGTCTCTCACATGCGCCTGTTCCCTGAAGACCAGATTCCCATTTGAACTGAGCTGGCAGCTAAGCTCTCCGCTCCTCCTCTACTCCTCTTCCAGTTTACACCCTCTGCAGTTCAAATCACCAGCACACGTTGCCGTTTTGACAGTGGAGACGCCCGTGCTGCTTAGAAAGGACGGATTTTTAGGGTTAAGTACACAACAGTGCAGTCACGAGAAGAAGGAAATACACCGTGCGTGATTTTTTCTAAATTCGATGCATTGGGATGTGATGAAGAATCATCCGATGATTCACAGGTTTCAAGATAAGGTAGCTGCAACGTCAGAGATGTTACACCATATCAATATAAATAAGGGAAACAAGGCAAAATACTGTGGCAGTGTGTGAAAAATTAAGTAAACTGCACAACCACCTGTAACAACACTAAAGAGAGTGAAGTCATTTGGTAAACTCTTCCTAACAACGTGACATCACTTCTTTGAGTTGTGGAGCGTTTGTTTCTGCTTGGCTCTCATAAGATCCCACAGCAGCATTTCTGTCAGGCTGGGGTCTTGAGTTGGACACGATCAATTCGTCCTTGATTCCTTTCTTTTTCAGTCATTCTATTATAGATTTGCTGCTGTGTTTGGGATAATTGCCCTGCGTGATGCAACTTCAGTGAAGCTTTAGCTGTTGGACAGATGGTTTTGAATTGGTCTCAAAATATTTTTTGATACAGATGAGATTTTGGTTAGCTCAGAGACCGCAAAGTGCCCCAATCCTGTGGCTGCCGAATTAGGCCAAATCACCACCCTTCCAGCACTGTGTTTGACAGCTTGTAGGAGGTGCATGTGCTGATATGCTGTGTTTGGTCCTCACCAAACACTGGTGTGCATCTCCACTTTGGTTTCATCTACATAAAGGAATTTTTTCCCCTAGAGTCGACAATGCAAACCTAAGTTGTGTTGCCATATTGTTAGAGGCTTAGAGGCGTTCAAAGGCTTTTTCCTACAACCATTGAATATTAGCCATCTCATTGTTCTGTATTTTTCTAATTGTAAAGACGTTAACTACAGCATTACATTCAATATACAGAGGCTAATAGACTCTCATTACATGTTTTTTGCTATTTGAGCCCATGTTGATCTGAGCTTGGACTGAAATCGCCGGGGTCATGGAATTATTAGTTTTATGAGGTGCTCAGGTGTGCGTGTGAAATTCTGCTACAATTGCAAATCAAACTTCACAACAATGATTCAGTTTTTATTCCTGTTGTCAGATGGAAATTTCTTCTCTTCTGTTCTGTGGCTCTGTGAAAAAAAACAACTTCTGTTCTTGCTCTAAAATCCCCTTCTAAGAATCTCTTTTCTGCCCTCTTCTTTTTACTTCCACCTCTTGACACTATTTTCATAATGAAGTGTCGCTCTTGCAAATTGCTCCTCTTGAATTATACATTCCGCTTAAACACGAAACAGATACTATTATTCCGAGACCAACCTGCACCTCAGGGGTCAAGGCAGTTCTGTCACCCACTTACGCTCAATGGAAGACGGGCCACTGTGTCTCTAAACGCATAATTTTGACCATTAAAAAGAGACCCTGGTGACCCTCCCCAGGCTGTCACAAGCCAATCAGAAACACGCTTATCAACCAAACTCATATCTATAAAGGATAAGTAAATGAAGTGATGAAACACTAGCAGACAACCTTTTATGAAGTATATTAACATCTTAACCCTCTCAATGAGTAACAGAAATAAATGCATGTGTGTGTGAATGAAAAATGTGAATTATAAATGACCTTCTCTGAACCAGCGCTGTGTGTTATGCAAATAGCCCGCAAAGTGTATTTATTTCTTATGTTAATTATGGCTCAGTCTTTCTGTGCACGGAGGTACCATTAAAGTAATCCCTTAGCTGCAAAGGTGGGTGAGCAACTGAGACCTCAAAGGGGACGTGTTGCACAGTAAAAGGTAGCCATCAGCTTAGTTCAGTGCATTAAAAGGGGGGTGAACAGAAACTGTTGTTTCCTTTTCTTCACACAGCAGCAGCATTCCCTCTTCTTTCATGCTTTTGTTAACATTGCTTTTGTTTCCGTAAGTTCCTCTGCTGTACTGAGCAACTCCGATCCTAAAAAAACACAACAACTCCACCTATGAACACGGACGCTTAAGGCACGAGACATGCGATGTAAATCTGATTTGTACCCGTGGCAGAGGGGATGTCTTCGCTGTCATCCATATCAGGAAAAGACAAACTGTTCTTACAGGTGTAACCAAAGCAAGATAATCGTTGCTCTGCAGAGATCAAGCTCAACCTTTTTGAAAATGGCTTTATTGATTTAATTTATCTGTAGTGTACTCTATCTGTAGTGGAAGGAGGACTTCGATGATGTCCTCAATCCAACTAACATGTCCTCCAGAGAGGAGGCGTGGCCTGAGGACTTGGGGAAGACTCATTCATTGCCATTCAGTGCCTTCTGGACACCTCGTATTTGGTTTTGATCAGTTTGATTTGTGAAACCGATCAACTGAAGCACTCATCCAGAGGACTGAAAAAGATGTATGATTACACTGATGAGCACCAGTCAGATTTAAATAAAAAAGCCTCTTTTAACTCACTAATAGTTTGTATATTAAACACCTGTTGAACAATACTCAATCGCCAAAATTAACGGAAGTAATCGATAGATTAAGCAACAACTTACTTTTTAAATTTAAAAGATAAAAGGTTTTTCGTATAAGCTCCCTGCAATATTACATTCATACGCAGGTTAGAAAATGAATGGATGTGTATCATGTGTGGTATGTAAAGCCACTGTTAGCTGAAAAATACTGGCCATCTGTATTTCATGCAAGGAAGCTTGTGTGTAACTCTAGATTCATAATCATCTACATCTGGCAATGCACATTTTCTTCTAATTTTCTGATTGCTTCAGTATCAAGTTTGTCCTATTGTATATTCATTTGCTCCAATTCATTGGAAAATTAATGCAGGGAATTTAGCATTATAGTTGATCTCACACTTTTCAGAAATAAAACTTTGATACAGATGAATGAAGACGACAGATAGCACATTCACTTCATTAAATGGCTTCATTGTGAGTTACATTTCATTTTAATCTTTGAACCCGGACAAGCCATTTAATTTCCGCACAATTTCAGAGCACGTTCAGCAATAGAGAGACCTATTAAAGATAATTGTAATAAATGTGGAATTAGATTCTCACCCTATTTGCTCTAACTAATTTAGAGTAAGCAATTACTTTTCCTATCAGCAGCCTTGCATGTGTGTGTCTCTTTCTCTGTGCCACAACTACACATCAAGCTAACTTCTGTGTAGTTGTAGCACAGAAAGAGAGAATTTCTGTGATTTGTTGCTCAAAAAATGCTCCAAACTGATTTTGATTTCTTTGAGATGGAGAAGTGTAACAGTGTCACCTGATTTAGATTCTGATTGAGCATAAAACACATATTGGAGAATGGCTGGTGAAGTGGGCATCATAAAGGAAAGATGGTTATGGACTGCACAAACCATAATGTTATGGGTGAAGTTAGCTCTTTTTTCATTGTGAAACAGTGTCAGTTTTGAGGGAGTTTGCTTTTACACAAATAAGATCAAGGAGAGTAAAGATTGCATTACAACTGGCCAGCAAGTGTTTTTTTTGTTTTTAGTTTTTTTTTTTGCTTCAAAATTAAGCTAATAGAACATGTATAGTTCTAAAAAAGGTAGATTTTACAACATATCATAAAAATGCAAAGATAGCCAGCTCGCTCTCTGACTTTTCTTTTAAAAGCTTATTTCTTTTATTTGTAGGGATATGAATAACAATGTGCTAAAGATTTCTTACTCTAAGAATC